CCCCTGCTGTCCCAGCGCCTCCGAGGACAGAGGCCCTGCTCCCCGAGGGCACAGCAGGGGAACTGCCCCCCTGGGCTCGGCCAGAGCGCCCGGAAGTGGGTGAGAGGTTTTGTCTCTCACACACACACACACACACACACACACACACATCAGCACCTTCAGAACAGCGCTCCTGATTGGCCGGGCGGAGGCCTCAGGCCTCCCACCCTGGGCGCCCTCGGACTGGGGTCACCCTGGGCCCCGGGGCTCCGTGGGAGGTGGGCAGGGAGACAGGAAGTCCAGGGGGCAGTCAGGTGGGCGGTGGGCATCCTCTATGTGACTCTCCGAGTGGCCAGGGTGGCCTTCCTGTAGTGCCCATGGCAGCCACACGGGGGCAGCATCGCCTAGGGCTGCGTGTGGGTGCCTCGTGCCCAGGACACCCCTTCCCTCATTTCCTCTGTGAAACGCTTCAGGAAGGGACAGGGTTTCAAAAGACGGGCAGATCCACCCTAACAGGTGTGGCTCAGTGGATAGAGCGTGGGCCTGTGGACTGAAGGGTCCCGGGTTCGATTCCGGTCAAGGGCATGTACCTTGGTTGCAGGCATATCCCTGGTGGGGGGTGTGCAGGAGGCAGCTGATCGATGTTTCTCTCTCCCTCTCCTTTCCTCTTTGTTAAAAAAAAAATCAGTAAAATATATTTCGAAAGAGAAATCCTCCAGACCCCACCCGGCCAGTAGCCGGGGAAACAGGCTCAGAGAAGCCCGATGCGGGGCGAAGTCCGCCACAGCCTGGCTCCCAGCTCAGGTCTCTGCAGGCACCCTCTCCGCCCTCCCCGGGGCAGCACCCGCTGGAGTGAACACGGAGAAAGGCGGTAATGCCAACAGGGCTCCTGGGGACCAACTGGGCTCAAAAGCATCCCCCCCAAAAAAGCAAACAAACAGGAAAAACAATAACAAAAAATGAGCCTGGCAGCCATTTCTACACACCGGCCTCCTGTGCAGACCGTGCAGGGAGAGGCCTGCCCTGGACGCCTGCTGCCGTCCCGCTCGGAGCAGCCCTACAGCTCCTACTTCCATCCCAGTCTCCTGGGAGCTACTCGGCGGTACCCCCCTCCCCCATCAGCCTCTTCACAGCCAGCCAGAGCTCCACTCCGGCCATCAGGACAGCGGGAGGATGAGGACAGACCAATCCGGGACTGGGGCTCCTGTCTGTGAGTGAGCTCCCCTCTGGCCCTTCCTCCCTCCCCGAGGCTGGAGGCTGTTTCCTCGGCTGGAGCTGAAACACTGCAGGTGAAATGTTAACGGGCACCCACCCCCCGGGTGTGCCCCACCCCAGGCTTCCCATCGGCGTTGAATTGGTGCCAGTGACCACGGGCTGGCCAGGGTCCCTGGGGGCAGGCATCGCCAGAGTTTACGGGAGATGGAGACACGGGAGATGGAGACACGGGAGAGTCCAGGGTCGGGAGGGAACCAGGGCCACGTTGGGGGGACAGGGACCAAGAAGGGGAGAGAGCTCGTGCAGGTCAGGAGGGAGAGGGGGGTGGGGCCCAGGAGGCCCCCTGGAGGCGGCGGCACTTGCAATTGGCCGTGGGGGAGTGGGAAGCTGGTGGGTGGATTCCGGGGGAGTGGTGGCTGGGCGAAGGCCGGGAGCCGGAGCGTCAGAGCCTCAGAGCCCTCCGGGGACCAGGAGGTTCGAGGCCGGACGCAGACGTCCGCCCGGGCCGAGCGCCCCACCAGCCGCCTCTGGACGCGGCCGCCCTGGCGTTGGAATTTTCCCGAATTCCATCACGGCGAACGTGCAGAAAATGGCCGCTCTCCAGATGAGCTCATGTGGAGGTGGGTGTCAACAAGTGGTCTCCATGGCAACTGCGGGCCGGGCTTTGCCCCTCTGAGGCCTGGAGGCCAGCCCGGAGGCGGCGGCAGCCGCTCCTCATTCCTCGGCCATGACTCGGCCGCTGAGCCACTGGCCATGAGGCCCCGTACGGACCCCCTTACGGACCGGGACCGGCTGCCAGGCTCCCCGTATGGACCCGGGACCGGCTGCCAGGCTCCCCGTATGGACCCGGGACCAGCTGCCAGGCTCCCCGTATGGACCCGGGACCGGCTGCCAGGCCCCCGAGGACGCCTCCGCAGGAGGGGGCCACGGAGCCAGGGCCACCTGCTCAGCCTCCCAGGCAGGGCTCCTGTGAGGCCCCGGCCCCGTCGGCCAGCTCCCTGCCCTCCGGGTGCGGGTGGAGATGGCGGGCACAATGGGCTGGGCCTCAGGCTTCCCCGGGACGCAGGGCTGTCGGGCTGTTCGACCGGGAAAGGCCTGGCAGATGCCGCCTGGCCCTGACCTCCGTCCCGTCTGCCCGCCTCCCGCCCGCCCCCCAGCTCCCCTGAGGCTCAGGCCCCACCCCACCCCCACCTGCCTCCTGGGAGCTCAGGCCTCAGGCCTCAGCAGTCAGAGGTGAGAGCAGGACCGAGGTCTCAGGCCCAGAGACCACAGCCCTGGGTCAAGGCTCTGCTCTGCTCCCCGTAGCTGGGGGGCTGGGGCTCCCTAGTTGGTCCCCCGTGAGCCTCAGTCTCCCCACCTGGATAACAATAACGCCAGAGCCGACAGAAGCCCCTCCTGAGATGGGGGTGCTCAGCCCCCGGTCCCCCCTCGGCCACGGGGCAGCGCTGAGGCCTGAGGTCCAGGCTGGTGAGTCAGTCCTGCTGCCCAGGGAGCAGCTTGTGAAAGCCACACAACCAGAACGTTCCCTGACCGCCGCCCCCCCCGACCCCCCCGCCACCCCGGAGCTCAGGGTGGTGGCTGGGGAAGGCTGACCCTGACCTCACAGCATACACCCCCCCCCCCGATCCCCCGTCCCCCTCCCAGGAGCCACTGTCCTCACAACTCCCCAGGAGCCCTGCGGGCAAGGTTCTGGGAAAGCCCAGGCTCTGCCCACGCCGCCCACGGGCCACGCCGCCCTGAGCCCGTCCCTGCAGGATGAGGCCCGGGGTCCCCGTGGGGTCAGCTGAGGAGAGGCCATTGGACATGGGAGGCTGACATTGGACATGTGAGCCTCAGCAGAATGTTCCAGAGCTGGCTCTTGAGCGGGGGCCCCACCGCGGGAAAGGGACTGGTCAACCAGCCCTCAGGACCACCGCCATCTGTCCCCGCCCCGCCCCACCCACACACCCTTCTGCTGAGACACGTCCTCTGCTGGCCAAACTGCTCCTGGCTCCTTGTCAAGAGACGGGTCCCCTCACTTCCAGGTCTGGACTCACCAGCCACCCCCCCCCAACACACCCCGTGGGGGCAGCGCTGGCGAGAGGCTCCCCCAGAGTGGTCTCTCCAGATCTGGGAGACCAACCAGAGTCCCCGCCGCCCCCCGATGGCCTGGCCTTCCAACCCCCACTGAGACAGCGCCAGGACGGCCAGGACAGACGTCCACGGGACAGGTCTCAGCCCGCAGCCCCGGGGCCAGGCAGGGGCGGGGCGGGAGCGGCCTGGGGGGCAGAGGGCCGGTGGCCGTTAACCTTTGAACCCAGCGCTGGGCCTCACCCCGCAGAGGCCCCGGGCACACGACCCTCTCCCTGGGACCCTGCCTCTCTCCCTCCCTCCCTCCGCGGTCACCCCGGGGGCAGGCAGGGAGGCTGACCTCTGACCTCCCCAGCAGTCACCACTCAGACACCAGCCCCAGCTCAGTCCAGCGGGAAGAGGCCACGCCTCCAGCCCCGTCTGGGCCACGTTTATTCCGGCAGAAATACAGCACCGCGTGGTCACTGCGCGGGACGCGGAGGGCGCTGTGCAGGCCCCACGCGGCCTGGCAGGGCCCGGGGTGCGGTGCCAGGGAGGCACGCCCACTTTGCTTTGGTTTGGGGGTGCAGAGCGGCACCTGGGCGTCACCAGGACCGGCCTCGGAGGGAGAGCAGACCTGCCCTCGGGGAGGCCCTGCAGACACCGCGCCGGGCACGGGGGCACCGCGGGCACAGACGGGCCTGGCGTAGTGACCCCACAATGGGCCAGCGGCATCGACACTGGGGCGTGTGCTTCTGTGAGAAGCAGAATCGGCTGCACGCGGCCACGTGCAGAGGGCGTGAGGCGGCCGGGGCCACGGCCGGCGGCCGAGCAGATCCCGTGAACGTGGGGTGTCCCGGGAGCGCTGTGTCCGGAGCGGGGAGCCGGGAGCCGCGTCAGCCAGAGCCGGGGAGCCCTCTCCGAACACGCACACACGCACACACGCACACACGTGTGCTGCCAATAAACACACACACTCTGCCGTCCTGCCCCGCTGTGCTGGGCCAGACCTCGGGCTGGAGCTGCGCACCCACCGGCTGCGAGAAAGCGGGTGTCAGGACGCGGCCCCTCCGAGGCGGAACGGCCAGGCCGCGGGGCCGACCCCGTGCTCGCCTCCCTCGGGCGGCGCGCTCCCACGGCAGGAAGTTGGCGCCGCTGGAGGCCGAGCTCATCCTCACGCCAGAGCCACGTGGGTGTGCAGGGTGGAGGTTGCGGGGTGGGGGCAGGGGTGGGGGTGGAGGCTGCGGGATGGGGGTGGGGGTGGAGGCGGGGGTGGAGGCTGCGGGGTGGGGGCGGGGGGGTGGAGGCTGCGGGGTGGGGGTGGGGGTGGAGGCGGGGGTGGAGGCTGCGGGGTGGGGGCGGGGGGGTGGAGGCTGCGGGGTGGGGTGGGGGTGGAGGCTGCGGGGAAGGGAGGGTGCTGGCGCTCTCCGACTCGGCGTCCGGGACTCGGAGAGCTCGGGTCTGGGCCACAGGGACCCTCCCGACTGCACTTGAGCACGAGGCTTGCCGGTCCCGGGGGTGCCCATTGGGCTCCGGGCCCCCTCGGTCCTTCCCCATGGCCCCCCAGATGCCAGGAGGCCTTCCGCCCGCCCCCGCTCAGCGGCTGCGGAGGCCGGAAGGTTCCCACGCTCGGCCGGGGCCCACGCCCGGGGTCTTGGCATCAGGCGGGAGCCTGGGGCGGGCTCCGCACGCCGAGTCGGCTCCCGCGGGAGACGTCTGCCATCGCCGGACGCCGTGCGCCTGCCTGCCTGCCGGCCTCACGTCCTCCTCCAGGCGAAGGCCTCGTCGCCCAGCGCCTGGGCCAGCCGGGCATTGAAGGGTCCGTAGAAGTCGCGCAGGAGGCGCTGGGTGAGCGGCCACATGGGCCCCAGGCTGCGGTCCTCGGGGCGCCGGGCGTTGGAGGCGGGGCTCCGGGTCATCAGGGCCTCCTGCTTCTCGCTCAGCGGCCCTGGGCGGGGCAGAGAGGGCTGAGGGGCGCCGGCGGGGCAGCCTCCTGGGCACCTGCTGCGACGCCCACGCGCCCGCCACTCCTGCAGGGGACCGCCCGCCCCGCCCGGGACCCCGCCCCAACCACGCACAGCTGGTGCCGGATGGCCCCCCTGCCCCTCCCTCCCCGCCCGCCTGCCCGCAAGCCCCAGCGCCTCCGACCCGTACCGAGGCTAAGGAACTGGCAGACCCTCCGCATGCTGGCCTTGACGTCGGACGCGTGGTCCTCCAGGCGCAGCACGAGCAGCTGGTCTCTGTCGAACACGGAGAGCCAGTCCAGCAGGTACACGGCGTACAGCCCCACCTGCAGCCGCACCTGCGCGGAGAAGGCGCCGTTCCAGGCAGCTCCGCCCGCCCGGGCGCCGCGTCAGGGCCAAGCCCCCTGCCTTGGATGCTGGATTTTAAATGCCACGCGTTCCTTTATAGACATCTACAGCATGTTCCCTTATTTCTGTTTCAGATCGTCTGCCTCCTGCACGCCCCCTACTGGGGATCAAGCCTGCAACCCAGGCCCGTGCCCTGACCGGGAATCGAACCCATGACCTCCTGGTTCCTAGGTCGACGCTCAACCCCTGAGCCACACCCGCCGGGCACACCACACGTTCTTGCAAGACTCCCACTTCGGGGGCACTGAACCCTCGTGCCGACCCTGTTGGGGGCTTCCCGGCACGGTTCAAGGCCTGGTCAGGGCATGTGCAGGGTGCGGGTCCCATCTCTGGTCGGGGTGCGTATGAGAGGCAACCGATCAATATTGCTCTCTCCCTGTCCTTTCCCCTCTCTCTAAAATCAATAACAACACATTCAAAACGATAAAAGGCACCTGCCTCCTGCTGATCCACATCTCTGCCCTCAGGGCCCCACCCCGAGGTCCAAGGCCTTGGGCCCTGGCGCTGCACCCGGAGCCCGCCCGGGACTAGCCACCGGCTCTGGGTGCCAGGGACCCTCCGTAGCCCCCGCGCCTTCCGTGTAAGGTGGGCTGGATCTCAGGGCACCTGGGAGGACTGAGCAATGGGGGCCCTGGAGAAACCAGGATGGTGCCAGCTCAGTAACGCAGGCGCCTGAGTCCCTTCCCGCCCAGGGACGGTTTGGCCTGAGAGACATGCAGCTGTACAAACACGGAGACCAGGGACCGCGCCCGTGAACTTGTCACCCAGCCTCCGCGCGTTTTCCTTCCCAGCCACGGTGCCAACAGGGAGGCCAGAGGGAGGGACCGCCTGTCCTCGCGGTGGGAGGAAGTGGCCGCGGGCATCCTGCCTCCCAGAGGCGTTCAAGACGGGCGAGCCCTGGCCAGGCAGCCCAATGGTTAGAGCGGCCCACACACCAAGGTTGCGGGTTTGCTCCCCGGTCAGGGCGCATACAAGAAGCAACGAATAAATGCTTGAATAAGCGAAACAACAAATCAATGCTTCTCTCTCTCACTCCCGCTCTCTCAAGTCAGTAAAAATTAAAGTGACAACAGGGACAGGCACAGGGCTTGCTCCATCCTGCGGCAAACGCTCCGCTCGCTGCGAAGTCGCTGATAAGGCGGCGCTAAGCCCACCTCGGAGGGACTCGCCATGCCCTCCGCGTGGTGTGCCATCAGCCTGCTCCACTCCTGTTCGCTTTCTCACGCGAATCGGCTCTCAGCCTGGCGACGGCCCAGCCGACGGAGGAGCCACTGCTCCTGGGCCCGCAGCAGCCGGGAGAGCCGCCTCCCTCCCGCTCTGACATCCATCACTAAGGTGACCAGCCGTCCCGCTTTCGGCGGGACAGTCCCGATTTTTAATAATTTTTTATAATTTTTAGCAATTTGTCCCGCGGCGTTTGAAAAAGTCCCAATTCAAAAATGGGGACTTCTCTAAAACACCTTGGGACGCGGAACAAATTGTTAAAAATCAGGACTGTCCCGCCAAAAGCGGAACGGGTGGTCACCTTACACACACACACACACACACATGCACACACACACCCTGCCTCTCATGATTATGCTGAAATCCCCCACACCACCTGCCCAGCAGCCGGGGGGAGCCGTGGAGGGGGGGTGTGGAGGCCTGAGGGCCAGGCTTGGGCGGTGGGGGCGGGGATCTCCGGGCAGGCTCGGGATGGAGGCGGGGGGAGGAGGGGGGGTGACCTCGGAGCAGGCTCGGGAGGAGGCGGGGAGGGGTGGACCTCGGAGCAGGCTGGGGGGGGGGGGGGGGGGGACCTCGGGGCAGGCTCGGGGGGAGGCGGGGGGACCTCGGGGCAGGCTCGGGGGGGGCGGAGGGGGGGACCTCGGGGCAGGCTCGGGGGGAGGCGGGGGGGGGGTCCTCGGAGCAGGCTCGGGGTGGGGAGACCTCGGGGCAGGCTCGGGGGAGGCGGGGGGACCTCGGGGCAGGCTCGGGGGAGGCGGGGGGACCTCGGGGCAGGCTCGGGGGAGGCGGGGGGGCCTCGGAGCAGGCTCGGGGGAGGCGGGGGGGGGGACCTCGGAGCAGGCTCAGGGGGGAGGTGGGGGGGGACCTCGGGGCAGGCTCGGGGAGGCGGGGGGGCCTCGGGGCAGGCTCGGGGGGAGGCGGGGGGGGCCTCGGGGCAGGCTCGGGGGGAGGCGGGGGGGACCTCGGGGCAGGCTCGGGGAGGCGGGGGGGCCTCAGGGCAGGCTCGGGGGGAGGCGGGGGGCCTCGGGGCAGGCTCAGGGAAGGCAGGGGGGTGGCCTCGGGGCAGGCTTGGGGAGGCGGGGGGCCTCGGGGCAGGCTCGGGGGTGGGGAGGGGCTCGCACCGGCTGGGGGGGGGGGCGGGGGCCTCGGGGCAGGCTCGGGGAGGCGGGGGAGGGGCACGCACCGGCTGGGGGGGGGCGGGGGGCCTCGGGGCAGGCTCGGGGGCGGGGAGGGGCTCGCACCGGCATGGCGTTGTTGAGGCTGTTGTTGTACACGCAGGCCCGCAGCGAGGCCTCCAGCAGGCAGGCCGCGAACAGCTGCAGCGCGTCCGTCACCTTCTCGTGGAAGTCCTCGGCCGACTTGTTGGAGGAGGCGAAGTACAGGTAGTCCGAGTACAGCCTGGGCGAGAGACACGGTCAGCGGAGCAGGATCGCCGTCCGGGGCGGTCAGCGGAGCGGGCATCGCCGTCCGGGGCGGTCAGCAGGAGCGGGCATTGCCAACCAGGGACGGGGCACCACCGCACAACGGCATGGGGCTGTTCCTAACACGCTCTGGGCTCCTGCAGGTGAGCGTGTTCCTGCCTCCCTTTTTATTTATTTTTTATTTTTTTATTTTTAAAAAAAATATATTTTATTGATTATACACAGAGAGGAATTGAGAGGGATAGAGGGTTAGAAACGTCGATGAGAAACATCGACCAGCTGCCTCCTGCACACCCCCCACTGGGGATATGCCCACAACCAATGTACATGCCCTTGACCGGAATCGAACCTGGGACCCTTCAGTCCCCAGGCCGACGCTCTTCCACTGAGCCAAACCGGCTTCGGCCCTGCCTCCCTTTTAAAAAAATGTGTTTTTATTGATGTCAGAGAGGAAGGGAGAGGGAGAAGAGAGAAACGTCAGCGATGAGAGAGAATCACAGATCGGCTGCCTCCTGCACGCCCCACACTGGGGATGGAGCCCACAACCCGGGCCTGTGCCCTAATCGGGAATTGAACCCTGGCCTCCAGGTTCCTAGGTCAATGCTCAAACCATTGAGCCACACCGGCTGAGCCCTATTTCCCTTCATGTGTCCCCTCCCCCTCACCCCAGGCTCTCCGGACTCAGTCAGGTCCACACGGGCCCCCACCCTCGTAGGCGCGCGCACACACGGTAGGCCTGTATGTGTGTGCCCACTCGTGGTCTGTCCGTGCAGACCCACCCACACGTGCTCAGGGTCATTAGTCCGACAACCTCGGAATCCCACAGAAAACCCAAACCCAGCTCCCGGCAGACTGCACGTCCTCGTCAGCTCCCTCCCTCCCAGGAGGGAAAGGGGACGAGGGCTCCTGCCTAGGGAGCAGGTCAGGGTGTCCCCCTCAGAGGAGCAGGTGGACGTGCAGAGGATTGTCTCAGTCAGCGGTGCCAGGACTCCCCATAACCCCCTTCGGGGGAGCAGAGTCAGGGAGCCACCCTGGAGGGGGAGAGCCACTTGCTGGGTTCAAACTGCTCAGAAAATGTTGAGGACAGCGAACGTATCGAGAATAAGCACCCAGCCCTAACCGGTGTGGCTCAGTGGATAGAGCATCGGCCTGCGGACTGAAGGGTCCCAGGTTTGATTCCGGTCAGGGGCATGGACCTTGGTGGCGGGCACATCCCCAGTGCGGGGTGTGCAGGAGGCAACTGAACGATGTTTCTAACTCTCTATCCCTCTCCCTTCCTCTCTGTAAAAAGTCAATACAATATATTTAAAAAGAAGATGGAGGAGGAGGAGGAGGAGGAGAGAAAGAAAAAGAATAAGCACGCAGCCCAGGCCGTGTTGAATGTCAACCTGGGAACCGGAAGGTCCCAGCTTGATTCCCGGTCAGGGCACAGGCCCAGGCTGTGGGCTCGTCCCCAGTGGGTGCAGGAGGCAGCTGATGCATGATTCTCTCTCATCACTGAGGTTTCTCTCTCTCTCCCTCTCTCTTTAAAAATCAATGAGAGCATTTTTCGGGAAGAAGCAAGTGCAGCGTGAGGACCCCCAGGCCCCGAGCTGCTGGGCTGCCTGGCCCGGCCACGGTCCCTCCCCGTCGGAGCTGAGGGTGCCGGCTGGGCCTCGTCCGTGTCCACCCTCCACGCCACAGCCACTCCGACCAGCCCCCTCCCCGCTGGTCTCACGGAAGAGCCAGAGCCGCACGCCCAGAGCCCACTGGACAGGCCTCGGGCAGGTCCGGAAACGGGGACCCAGGCGTCACCCCCCCCCCCCCCCCCGATTCCAGGGGCGTCTCCCTTCCTGGCCCCCGCAGAGCAGCCCGGGGCCAGGCCAGCCGGCCGCACGCAGGCTGCAGGCTGAGGCCCGCCCGAGCGGCAGGAAACCATCGCAGCCGCCGAGACCGCGGCGAGGAGCTCCGGACAGTGTTTACGTAGGAAATACCGCGGGCATTGCGCGCCCAGCTGGCTTTTCTCTCGAGAGGCACAATCCATTGTGACGGGAGGAAAGACTGCTATTTCAGCCTGCCTCAGCCTCTCCCCACCCCTGCCCGGAACAGGAAGCCTAACCGCTCACCCCTGCCCCGCTGGTGACTCCGTGGCTGAGCGCAGACCTAGGAGCCAGGAGGGCAGGGTTCGATTCCCAGTCAGGACACAGGCCCGGGCGGGGGGGGGGGGGGGGGGAGGAGAGGGGAGGAAGCACCGATCAGTGACTCTCGGCATGGACGTCGCTCCCTCTCCCATCGATCTGGAGACTTTAGGAAGCACCTTGGAAACTGTCTTAAAGCCCCCGTGGGTGCCTGTCCGGGTGAGTGCAGCGTGGCTGTGGGTGGGTGTGGCCGTGGGTGTGAGTGGCCGTGGGTGCCTGTCCGGGTGAGTGAGCGTGGCCGTGGGTGTGTGTGGCCGTGGGTGTCTATCCGGGTGAGTGAGCGTGGCCGTGGGTGTCTGTCCGGGTGAGTGAGCGTGGCCCTCTGTGTGCGTGACGCAGCGTGGCTGTGGGGTGCATGGCCGTGGGGCCTCTCGGAGGGGACGCACTAGCAGTGACCGGCAGAGGCCCACCTCTCCACGGGGTCCCTGAGCATCACGATGAGCCGGGCGTCGGGCTGCAGGGCGTGGAGGAAGTCCTGCGTCAGGAAGGGCGGCTCGCCATCCGTGCTGTTGTCGTAGAAGAAGGCCCAGGCGTTGTTGTCCCACATGGTGGACGCGCTGGCCTCCCCTGGGACGAGACGGGCCGTGAGCGGCGCCGAGGGACGGGCCCCCCCTGGAGCGGCCTGAGCCAGGGAGGGCGCCAGCGGGTCCCCACCCTGGCAGGCTGGTCTCCAGGGCGTGGAGGCTGAGACCACCCCCTGCCCCAGTGACACACACACACACCCAGGACCTCGGCGTGGCTCAGGGGCTGAGCATCGACCTAGGAACCAGGAGGTCAGGGGTCAGTTCCCGGTCAGGGCACAGGCCCGGGTTGCGGGCTCCATCCCCAGTGTGGGGTGTGCAGGAGGCAGCCGATCCATGATCTCTCGTTGGTGTTTTTCTCTCTTCCTCTCCCTTCCTCTCTGACATCAGTAAATACATATATTTTTTAAAGGACCCTGATCTGGACATCACCGACCCAGTGCAGGGCGGCACTGCGCGGCCTCCCAGGCCCGTCCCTCCAGGTCCTGCCAAGACCTCCACCGGCACCGGCCCCTCTCCAGGCTGTCACCTGCCCGCCGGGCACCGCTCTGGCAGGGAGGCCCGAGGAGAACCAGGCGGTGATGCCCTCAGGGCTGGAGGGAGCGGGAGCTGATCCTCATCAGGAATCGTGCGCAGTCGGCATCGACTCCGCTGGGAACCCACGGCCAGTTCTCGGCTCTTGGAGGGACCCCCTCTCGGGCTCGGGGTCTGGCACGCCCCCCAGCCCCCCACGCCCCCCACGCCTCCCCACACACACAGCCGCCTCCCCTCAGTCCTTCCCGGAGAGCTTTTCTCTCTGTGTGTGTGTGTGTGTGTGTGTGTGAGAGAGAGAGAGAGAGAGAGAGAGAGAGAAAAGCCACAGATACAGAAAGAACAGTCAGCAGAGTCCTTTGAAAGTTCCACTCACAGTGAAAAAGGGACCATTAGGACAAGGAAAGTATCTCAGACTAAAATGCAGATTCTGTCACATGTCACTAACAGCGGGTCCACAAGCAAGAAGCATTGTTTCCCCACCCATCCATCCCCACCCATCCATCCTTCACCCATCCATCCCCACCCCGCATGGACAGCGGGGACGAGAGTGGCTGGGGGAGAGGACGGGGGCGGGCACGCCCCTCGGGGTCAGGCCCGTCCGCCCCTCCCCTCGGGGCCAGGCCCGGCGAGCGCGTACCGATGACAATGCGGCTGCTCCTGCCGGTGGCGCCCGCCTGCAGGCCCCGGTGGACCTGGTGAGCCGCCAGGTCGAAGAGGTCCAGGTAGTCCTCCACGGGGTAGCGGTCCCGCAGCCCGTCCCGCAGCCGCACGATGCCTGCGGGATCAGAGCGGGGTCACCGAGGGCGGCGCGGCCGGGCTGCCGGCTCCGGGCGACGCGGGAGACGGAGGCCCCGGGCCCGCGTCCACAGCCGGGCTGGCCGGAGGCTGCTGGCAGGGGCGGCGGGCAGACAGGGTGGGCACTCAAGCTTGATGTCAGAGAGGAAGGGAGAGGGAGTGAGAGAGACAGAGAGAGAGAGAGACGCCAAGGATGAGAGACAATCATGGCTCAGCTGCCTCCTGCACGCCCCCCATGTGGGATGGAGCCACAACCCGGGCCTGTGCCCTGACCAGGAATTGAACCGGCAACCTCTTAGTTCATAGGTCAATGCTCAACCCCTGAGCCGCACCGGCCTGGCCCTCCAGGAACTGTCCCATGTCTGCTGGGAGGGCCAGCGTCTGGGCTGGGTGAGGCGAGGGCCAGGGGAGCTGGCAGGGCCTGTGGGACGGGCACCCTCATCTCGGGCTCTGCCCTGTGCTGTGGGTCAGCAGCCTGTTCGTCTGTCCAAACACTAAGCACACGGATGGTGCCGGGACAGACACGTGGTTTGAGCCGGGCAGCGACCCTGGCATCGGCCACGGGCAGCCACACCGGCCCAGCCTGAGACGGAATGCAGGCACGGTGGCCACACCCCAGCCCCGCCGGCAGCCGCTGAGGTCCGGGGAGTGGACACTCCCACGGACAGACGAGAGGCTGAGGGTGACCCCGGATCCAGAGGCCTGGCTCTGTCCATGAGGGAAAGGGGGAGCTGTGGGCAGGGACCCCCTGGCTCCTGACGCTGCCCCAGACACGTGTGCTCTGTCCATTCCAGAGGGACATCAGCGTTCGGTCAGACGTTCGGTCAGACGGAGTGGCCTGGCCCCGCGTCCGGAACACGCCTCGGCCTGGCCCGGCCGCCCAGACTCCACGGCCGTCATCCGGCTCTGGCACGGGGAGAAGGTCAAGGGGAGGAAAGAGTGACCGGCGCAGGAGGCCCCGGCGGCCCAGGAGCCTCAGCAGGGGGACGGCGAGGCCACGCCAGCCGAGGGGAAGGGGCGCCGGGGTCCCGCCCAGAGGCACCGAGATCGTCTCCACGTGGCTGCCGTCCACCGAGCCAGGTGCCACGGGAGGACACCAAGCTCAGGGCCCAGGCTGAGCCCCAGGGAGGAGCCGCCGCTGGGCAGCCTTTCTCCGTCTCTGCCCAGCTGCAGAGCCAGGTCAGAGCAGGAGGGAAGGTCAGAGGGGGAGGGGAGAGGTAGAGGGGGAGGGGCCAGGTCAGAGGGGGAGGGGGAGGGGACAGGTCAGAGGGGGGGGCCAGGTCAGAGGGGGAGGGGAGAGGTCAGAGGGGAAGGAGGAGGGGAAAGGTCAGAGGGGGAGGGCCAGGTCAGAGGGGGAGGGGAGAGGTCAGAGGGGGAGGGGAGAGGTCAGAGGGGGAGGGGCCAGGTCAGAGGGGGGGGCCAGGTGAGAGGGGGAGGGGAGAGGTCAGAGGGGGAGGGACAGGTCAGAGGGGGAGGGGCCAGGTCAGAGGGGGAGGGGAGAGGTCAGAGGGGGAGGGACAGGTCAGAGGGGGAGGGGAGAGGTCAGAGGGGGAGGGACAAGTCAGAGGTAGGGGGTCAGGTCAGTGGGGGAGGGGACAGCCCCGATAAATGTCCACCCGCGCCTGCCCTCAGACTCCTCGGGACCAGGCGGGCTGCCTGTTCTGTGCAGTCCCAGACCTGCACCCACTGCACTCGGTAGCTCCCGGGGGGCCGGGGCCGGTTCCTGCCCGTGGACATGCGCCCGGGACCTCAGACAAGGGAGGATCTGACGCTGTGCCCGGGAGCCCAGCCCAGAGCACCTGCCTCGCTCCCACCGCCAGGGACCTCTGTGAGCAGAAGGCCTGGTGAGCCCAGCGTGTGGTTGGGCATCGACCCCGGCCTCGTCAGAGCACAGGCCCGGGTTGCGGGCTGAGTCCCCATGTGGAGTGTGCAGGAGGCAGCTGATCGATGATGCTTTCATCGTTCCCGTCTCCCCCCCCCCGCCTCTCTGACACCAATAAAAATAAACCAGGAAAGGAAAGAAACGAAGGCGTGGGGGGATGGAGGCAGGAGCCGGCCGCCCGGCCTCCCCGCCGGGACCTGGCTCACGCACCGAACCGCTTGCGCGTCCACCAGTGCGGCTCCTTGATGGCGGAGAACTGCACCTCGGGGTGCAGCCGCAGGCGGTCGTACAGGTCGGTGGTGCCGCACTTGGGCTGCCCGATGACGTAGAAGCGCGGCAGGCAGCGCAGGCGGTAGCGGCGGCCGGCGGCCTGGGCCAGCTGCCCCCAGAAGGCCTTGCGCAGCGCGTCGAAGGTGGCACGGAAGCGCCGGGAGTAGAGGGCGTAGGAGTTGGCAAGGTACGGGTCCGAGGTGTTGGGCCCCGCGAACTCCTCGTACCAGCACGGGCTGCGGCTGCCCGGCAGGAACTTCCTGGGGATGACCGCGAACATCTGCAGGAGGGGAACACGGGGGACGACTCTGACCACGCGTGGTCCTGCTCGGACATGGACACGGACACGCGCTCAGCGGGCGGCGCTCTGTCTGGGCTAACCACCGCATCGAGCACACCGGGGAGAGCCACCACCTGCTCCCTCGGGGCCCAAACTTAAAAAGAAAAAAACCTCTGAAGAGAATGAAGATGGAAGTTTGGTCACGAGTCACTCTCCAATGATTTATCTCTCATGCACACATGCACACACACGTGCACACACCACACACACATGCACACACAAGCACCCACGTGCACATATGCACCCACACGCACACACACGACCTGCTGAGTAAGCAGCAGGGACCTTGTCACTGGCTGTATATTGAATGGAGACAAATGTACTAATGAGGACAAAATGGAAACAGGATGATAAAGACATAAAAAACAGTTAAAACCAGGCCCGACGTGGGTGAGCGTCAACCTATGAGCCAGGAGGCAGCCGATCCATGATTCTCTCTCATCGTTGATGTTTCTTTCTCTCTCTCCTTTTCCCTTCCTCTCTGACATCAATAAAAAGTATTTGCTTATAAAAATATATCCTATCCTACATAATAAAAGGCTAATATGCAAATTGACTAAAAGGCAGAATGGCCGGTCGCTATGACACACACTGACCACCAGGGGGCAGACACTCGACAAAGGAGCTGCTCCCTGGCGGTCAGTGTGCTCCCACAGGGGAGCGCCACTCAGCCCGAGGCCGGGCTCACGGCTGGCGAGCGCAGTGGCGGTGGCAGGAGCCTCTCCCATCTCCCGGCAGCGCTAAGCATGTCCGGCTGTGTCCAACTAAGCTGCCGGCCGGACAGCCGCCGAGGGCTCTGGGACTGCGAGAGGGCGCAGGCCGGGCTGCGGGGCCCTCCCCTAAGTGCATGAATTTCAGGTGCTGGGCCTCTAGTCCTACAGAATGAAAACCTAATATGCTGCGTCCGGTTGTCTGGTTGGCCATTCAACCAATCAAAGCATAATATGCTAATGATGCTAAGCCGCTCAACCGCTCGCTATGATGTGCACTAACCACCAGGGGGCTGACAGTCGGCCAGTCGACCAGTCGCTGTGACGTGCACTGACCACTAGGGGGCAGATGCTCAGAACGGTAAGTCAGCTTGCTGGGCTGGGGTCCGGCTGATTGGGACTGAGTGAGATGGGCCGGACATGCCCTGGAGCCCTCCCGCAGTCCCTCCCTGGGCCCAATCATGCACTGGTGGGGTCCCTCAGGCCGGCCTGCGCCCTCTCGCAATCAGGGCTCAGGGGCCCCTGCCTCGAGTGCATGAATCCTGTTCCCTGGGCCTCTAGTGTATGAACAAACTAAAAAGCAGCTGAAACCACCGGGACCCCTGTCAATCCTTCAGCTGCACCATCTCGTGTCAGGACGCCCTCCTCGGGTCGCCCTGTGACGACACCTCTCCCTGGAGCAGTTCTCCCCGAAGGTGCCCACAGAGAAGCATCTTTTTCCAAAGCCACCGGCCGGCCGGGGCACTCACGTGGGGCTCCTGCCTGCGGAGGGCGGCGGCGCCCGGGAGCTGCCGGGCGGTGAAGGCGATCCTGGCGGCGATGCTGTCCAGGACCAGCCGCAGGCCCGGGGCCTCCCGCGCCGCCGAGAGGTTGCCGGCAGGCGGCGGGGGCGGCTCCTTGGCGGGGCCCGGGCCCTCGCCGCCCAGCGGGCCGCCCAGGCCGGGGCTGCCGGGGAAGGCTCCGAGGCGGAAGGGCGAGGCGAGCAGCAGCTCCTGGCGGGCCCCCGAGAGCATGTAGGAGGCCGTCACCAAGGTCATGATGGCCAGCCCGACGGCCAGGCTGCACCGCCGCCCCCGCCCGCGGCGCCAGCAGCCGCCCCAGGCCTCGCCGCCGTCCGGCCGCCCCTGCAGCACGGCCAGCAGGTTCATCGGCCTCCCGTCCGCGCGGGACGCGGCCCCGGGGTCTCCTGGGCGCGGGGGGCCCTCCGGGGGGCCGGTGGGGGGGCCCGGCCGGTGCGTGTGGTCCGGCAGCAGCGGGACGCCGCAGTCAAGGCAGTGCCTCATGGTCGCGCCCGCGGCCGGCCGGGCCCAGCCATGGGCGAGCAGCGGGGGCGCGCGGCCGGCGGGCGGGCGGTGGCACGGGCAGCGGGCGGGCACAGGCGGCGGGCGGAAGGCACCAGGCGAGCAGAGGAGCGGGCGCCGCGGCCCCGGAGCTCGCGGTTCCACGGAGAGGCGGGAGGACGCGGCCTCGCGGGGGCATGCTCTGTGGAGCCGGGCCTCACGCTGCGGGGCGGTCCGGCCGCCCCCAGGGCTCCCCCAGGCACGGGAGGAAGGGGGGGGCCTCGCCGGAGAGCGCGGGGGCGCCCGGGAGGTCGGCCGGGGTCACGGCCTCCTCGGGGGGCCGGGCCGGCCCGCCATCCGTGGGCCCCTCTCTGTCCGTGTCCTGTGGGACGTCTCCGCTTCGGGGCAGGCCAGTCCTTAAAGCGTCACACCACCTGAACGGCAGAGAAAAGAGGTTTTCTTGTGTGTTCTTTCTAAAAATATATTTTTTTATTTTTAATATATTTCATTGATTTTTTTCATAGAGAGGAAGAGAGAGGGAGAGAGAAACATCGATGAGAAACATCGACCAGCCGCCTCCTGCACACCCCCCACTGGGGATGTGTCCGAAACCAAGGTACATGGCCTTGACCGGAATCGAACCTGGGACCCTTGAATCCGAAGGCCGATGCTCTATCCACTGAGCCAAACCGGTTTCAGCTAAAATTATTTTTTATTGATGTCAGACAGGAAGGGAGAGAGAGAGAGAGAGAAAGAGAGAGAGAGAGAGAGAAGCATCCCTGATGAGATAGAATCACGGATAGGCTCCCTCCTGCACATCCCACACTGGGGATCGCACCCATAATTCGGGCCTGTGCGCTGACTAGGAATTGAACCCTGACCTCCCGGTTCATAGGTCAATGCTCAACCCCTGAGCCACGCCAGCCAAGCAAGAAGAGACGTCTTATTCCATCTCGGGGTGACAGCAACAATCCAGGAGCCTCTGAGGCACGTCTGGGTCTCAGCCCCAGCCCCCGGGTCACACACAAGCCACCGAACAGCTAACAGGACACAGGGAGGTTTGGGGGCCTTGGGGCCTGGCTTTGGGGTTCAGTCTCGGCCAGCACACGTGGCCCCAACGCCAACAGCCCCGCCCCACGTCGGGCCCCTCGTGCTGTGCCCACCCCCCCAGCCCCCGCGCCTGCCGCCCCGGCGAAGTGCCTGGGCCCTCTGTCCCGGGATGTGGAACCATCCCAGGGTCAGGCTCAGCCGGTGACCATGAACCTGAGAGACGGACGGAAACGCCGGCGCTTTACGTCGACCGAACACCAGGAAGGAGCACGGCTCATGGGAGCGGGGAGAGCACAGGCTTTCTGCCCCCGAGGCCCCCGGCCTCCCCCGGCCCAGCTGTGCGGGCCGGGCCGGGCAGGAGTGAGGAGCGTTCGGGACAATGGGAGGACGATGGAGAGGACACACCGCTGCAGAGTGAACCCCGTAAAACCGCTCGCCAGCGGTCCCTCGGCAGCTAGACCCAGCGCCCGCGGCCCTCGGGACACGCCCTCTGCAGCCGAGATCGCTGCTCCCGCTCCATCCTGGGAAAAGCACGAGTCTCTCACGTCTATTTATAGACTCTGTGGTTACAGAATGTGCTGTGGCCCGGAAGATACATCTTGGTAGATGTAGTAAAAAAAAAAAAAAAAAAGAAAGAGGCAGCCTGGCCCATGTGGCTCAGTGGCTGAGCATCGACCCATGAACCGGAAGGTGACCAGTTCGATGCCCGGGTTGTGGGCTCGATCCCCAGTAGGGGGCGTGCAGGAGGCAGCCGATGGATGTTTCTCCCTCATGCATGTTTCTATCTCTCTATCCCCTTCCCTTGCTCTCTCTCTAAAATCAATAAAATATAGACTTTTAAAACACGCCAAACCGCCAAAACCGGTTTGGCTCAGTGGATAGAGGGTCAGCCTGCACACTGAAGGGTCCCGGGTTCGATTCCGGTCAAGGGCATGTACCTTGGTTGCAGGCACATCCCCAGTAGGGTGTGTGCAAGAGGCAGCTGATTGATGTTTCTAACTCTCTATCCCTCTCTTCCGCTCTGTAAAAAAAAAAAAAAAAAAAATCAATAAAATATATTTAAAAACAAAACAAAAAACGCCAAGCCTTCTGAGTTTCCGGGCCGGTAGGCCGCCACGCACGAGCTGTGGGACAGCGCCAGCTCCCTGGCCGGTAAAATCGGGATCGGAGAAAGCAGCCACTTCGTCCACGAAAGCGTCTGCGTCCCCCGAGAGGGAGGCAGCGTCCGGGACACCGGCATCGTCAGCGGCTACGCCGACAGGGCGCTGTCAATGCAGGGAAGGCCCAGAGCGAGGAGAGGGCGTTAGAAACGGGAGAGCCTGCCGCCGGACTCCCTCCGTGCCCGGCCCGAGTGTGACGGACACACCCTGACTGTCCACACCCCTCTCGCCATCGCTGCCTGCAGAGGAGGCATCGTCCTGCGGTGGAGCCGCCGCCTGCGGGCTGGCAGGCTCAGCGGCTCCGCCGGGCCCACGGCAAGGCCTGTGCGTGGACCAAGCACGTGGGCCGCGCAATAGCCACGCAGCGGCTCCCAAACGGGCTTCCCCAGCAGCCCCTGCTGCCCCCGGGCGTTCTGTGCTTAAACTCCTGGGAAAACAGTGCAACAGGCAGACTACAGACTTCTTAAAATACGTTTTTGTTGGTGTCAGAGAGGAGGGGAGAGGGAGAGAGAGAGAAACATCAGTGATGAGAGAGAATCACTAATCGGCTGCCTCTTGCCCACCCTCTTCTGGGGATGGAGCCTGCAACCTGGGCCTGTGCCCTTGACGGGAATCGAATCCGGGACCCTGCAGTCTGCAGGCCGACACTCTAGCCACTGAGCCACACTGGCTGGGCAGACAGACAGACTTCTTCACAGCAGGACTTTCCAGGGCCTTCAATCTGCTCGTGAGCCCTGGGAGCCCACAGGATTGGGACGGACGCACAGAATTTCCAAAACAGACGCGGCCGCAACCTCTCCCCGAGGTTCCGGGCGCCGGCTTGAGAAACACTGGCCGGGAGGCTGAGTCAGGGGTCAGGCCGTTCTGAGAGAGCGAGGGGGCGGCGAGGGGCCGTGGGAGCCAGCTGTCCCGGACCCCGCGGAGCCCGAGGCCCGCCCGCGCCTCCCGGCTCCAACCTCCGCCTCCCATGTGTCCCCCACGCTGACCCCTCTCTCGGGACAAACAATCCTTCCAAACCAAAGACACAAAAGGGCAGGCCCCGGCCTGGCAGCCGGCCGGAGCGAGAAAACACGGCTTTCCCGCGGAGATAAGGCTGCTCCCGCCAGGCAGCCGCCTCGGGCGGGGAGGGCCTCATTAATTTATTTTTTAAGAAAACACGGTCCCTGCGGCTCCGGGACAAGAATGTGCAATCCGTGACCCAGCGGGAGGGCAGGGCACTCCCCCCAGAACGCAGGATTCCCAACCCACGCCAACACACAGGCCGGGAGGCGGAGGCGGAGACGGAGGCGGAGGCCACAGCACAGACGGGGTGGGACCTGTGAGGTGGGCTCCCAGGTCTGGGGCCTGGAGCCCCTACAAGATGGGGGATGTCATAAAAAGTTAGTATTTGGGCCCGCCTGATTCTCTCTCTCATCAGGGGTTGAGCCTTGACCTATGAACCAGGAGGTCACGGTTCGATCCCCGTCAGGGCACAGGCCCGGGAGGCCAGCTAATCCCCAGGAGTGCAGGAGGCAGCCGATCCATGCTTCTCTCTCGTCGCCGATGTTCCTATCCCTCTCTCCCTCTCCCTGCCTCTCTGAGATCGATAAAAACATATTTTTAATTTAAAAAATAATAATGAGCCACCCACCTTCTCCTCAGGGACCTGAGAAGCAACGTGAGAGAGAATCTGGAGATCAGGAGGCCGGCCCGGGGGTGGGCAGGCGGGCGGGAGGAGGCAGGGGCCGGCTCCGTAGGGTGGGTGGGCAGTCAGGCCGGGTCTGTCTAAGGGCCAGAGGGATGCCCACTAGGAACTCTTCCCGAAGGTCCTGCACCGTGCACAGCTCTTACCCACGCTCCGCCGTGAGGGAACATCGGATTAGCGCCCGCACAGAAGATGGACGGCCTGGCTTTCCCACACCCCAGGCGACCCCCCAACAGTCCTCAGACACCCGACACGGCCGCTGCCTTTAAAAACGAGCCCCAGAGGCCGCCCCCCCCCCCCCCCGCCACGTCCGGTGCCAGCGCTCGGAGCCTCAGCGCCGGTGTAGGTTTCCGTGAGATTGCGGGCGATTGCTCGGCCTGGCTCCGTGCCGGCCTGTGGCCGCGGACGGCCACCGTGGGAACCGCCTCCGGGAGATCCGATCGCCGCTCCCAGAATAGCAGCCTCCGTTCCCGGCCGGGAGCCCCCATTAGCCTCTGACCCCGGCCATTAGCGAGCATTTATCCACAAGGGTAAGCGAGAGCCGGGTCCCCCCGCGGGCCCCTCGTGTCAGACCACAGGGTCCGTGTCACCGGGAGCACGGGCTGGGTATCACGGCCGGAAGCTGGCGGCCGGAGAGCCGTGTGCAGCTCAGAAGCCACGGGACAGACTGGCAGCATCGCCTCGCGGAGGCGGGACACGCGTCCGCCCGCCGGGAGCAGAGCGAGCGACGCCAATGACATCCTCACTCGTTAGCGTTTTAACGGGGAAACGGTGCTTCTTCGTTAACGGAGACACAGAGCCGCCTCTGGCCAGCCCGCCTCACCGCGGACGCCTCTCTGGGCCGTGGACGTGGAAACGCGTGCCCCACGGAATAGCCATCCGTGGACGTGGAAACGCATGTCCCACGGAATAGCCATCCGTGGACGTGGAAACGCGTGTCCCACGGAACACCACTCCCTGAGGGAGGAGGCGCCCGTGCTCCCAGTCCGCTCCACCACACCCTGAGCGCCGAGGCCGACAGAGCTGTGGGGGCGGGAGGGTTCAGCCCAAACAATCAGAGACCATCAGGTTCCGCTTCTTCTTTTTTCTTTTTTTATGTTTTATTGAAG